ATATGTATGTATGTATATGATTCCTTATTATTTTCACTCAGAAAACATGGCCATTGTCAGAAGCCAGCCATAGACCTAGATTCTCTTTTGTTGCTACCCATTGTGCCATAAGGAACCAGGCACAGATCTGATCAAAATGGGTAGATCCGATTCCTGCTGGGCTTCTGCCATGAATGCAAGACCTCTGGAGAGCTATCTCTACCTGGGTGCAAGTGAAGATGTGAAAGTGAAAAGCTGTGTTTTAAGCAGAGACTGAGGTCTCTAAAGGCAGCAACAAGAAGCCACATAACTAGGGAACAAGCGCACATTAACATAACTCTTTCTATAACATTAGTTTTCCTGGCAGAAGTCTTTCAGGTCTTGCTGGGCACCCTGCACACACAAAGAATGAAAGCAATGTCTGGTGATGGGGTCTATTACTAGAACTCATCGCACCTTCCTTCTTGGCCGTCTTGCCTCATTTCTTCACACCGATGGTTTTGAGCCTGACGTCTGTCTGTCCTGCAAGGCAGAGAGAATCCCTCCACCACCGTGACCACCCATTGAATGCAAGCATCCACTACTTCTCCATTCTGTGATCTCTTTCCAACAAGCTTTCACCTTCCCATACTCCAAAAATCTATTACAGTCTCATATGCTGGTGACACTTTTTCCAGTCTTTGTATGGTCAGAACTCAGCAGGGAAAGAGCTAAATGCCTGTGCTCAACCCACCGCCATCCTGATGTAGACTCCCTTGTAGAGCTCACAATTAACGCAGGTTTCTTCTATTCTGGCATGGCTGAGCCAAATCACCTCAGAGGCTGTCTCATCCCTCCTCAGTGCTTAAATTCCAAGTATACAAGTTATATTCAAAATTTGAATTAATCCATTTTAAATAGAAAATCAAGCGCTAGCTAATGCAGTGAGGAAATCCAGAGGTGACAGACTTCAGGCTGAGTTGCTTCAGTAGTTCAGTGTTATCACTAAGATTTTAAACTGACACACAGCAAAAGAACCACCAGCAAGTAAGTAAACTTTGGTGATAGAGAGGTTTCACATGTTATGCCCCAGTGTTTTGAAACTCCTAAAGGAAAAGACAAGTTAAAGGCAAATAAAACTGTTCACAAGAACAAAGGTGGGTTAGGAATTCATGAAATTCTTGAATCAAAACTCCTTACTTCTCAGCCAGCCCTGGTAACACTCACCTATCGTCCCAGCTATTCAGGAGACTGTGACAGAGGATCACAGGTTCAAGGTCAGTGTGAGTAACTTAGTGAGACCCTATCTCAAAATTTAAAAATGAAAACAGCTAGCTCAGGGGTTAGAACAATTTTAGTTAAAAAAAAAAAAAAGTAGATGACAAATTCCAGAAAACATAAGCATCTTTTATAATATTGGTGTAATAATCCTTTGCTACTATGTAGCTAAAGCCAAACACGACAAAGGGTACCACAACATTTAACTATGTAAAGAGGAATACCCTTAATATTTCTATAAGGCAAAAACAAATTAGCACAAATAAGGTTAAGAAGAGTGTCAAACTAAGAACAGTGCCTAAAGTACCATGACAGAGAAATATCTCTAATATACATAAGATTTTTATAAACTACTGAAAAAAACTAATAAAAAAGAAACAAATGTGTACATCAGAATATATAATGGATCTACATAAGTATGATAACATGACTACTCTCGCTAACAAAGAAATGAAAAGTAAATAACAAAGAGCATTTGTTTGCTTGATATCAGATTTGGTGAAGTTTTTAAAAATAAGCAACTCTGTATTAACAAAGATGTAGTAAAACAAATATTTTCATGCCCGTTGGTAACAATGTGTTGGAATGACTTTCCTAGATGGGAATCTTAAAGATAGATGAAATGAGTAAGTGTTTGTAGCCTTTGATCTAATAGCTCCACATCTAGGACTACATTCTCAGAAGGTTGCTTCCACACAACAGCATACTAATCAGCCCTTCAGGATGGTGACAGCACCCACAGTTTCTGAAACAGAACTGTTTTACTGCCTGGGCTGGGATGTAACTCGGTGGGACGGCACTCGCCTAGCATGTGTGAGACCCTGGGCTCAATCCCTTCCCAAAGTAATTTTTTTACAGCATATTATTTGTTTGTACAAGCTTTATTGTTTTAAAAAAGTGAACCACCTATAGTGATCTTTAAAAAGTTTAAAGTGGCCCATGCAAGGATAGTTGTCAAACACTGTGAATTGAACACATCTCCTCTCATTGGTTGACCAAAACCAGAAAAGCTTAGTATTCACATATTTAATATTTGAGATTTGTGCCTAAGTAGGGAGCTCTGAGAGTTCATGGCATAATAACTTACAGTTTTTCCAAGATGACCATTTGAACACACTCAGGGTTCATAATTATTCCCTCGACTAGTCCATAAGCCCGAGCAGTCGTTGATTCTAATAGTGATTCTGTAAACATTTCATGTCAGGAACCAAAAACAACAGTAATATGAGGGATCCATAACCTTAGGGTATATCTTCTATGAATGTCAAGGTTTGTTTCACTCTACGATTATATAAGGAGTTTCAAAAAAAGTCTTCATCCTATTTTTTAAAAAGTTACTCTGGTATCCCCCCCTTAAGGTAAAAATAAAAGACGCCAGAAGATTATAATTTCCAAAATGGTGGTATGAGATATATTTTGAATAAAATCAAAGGGTTTAGGCAGTATACGAAACCTAAATTGTAAAGTATGGTTTTGAAGAAATGTTCAGGACCTAGGGTCCTGTTAAGAGAACATTCTAAGGCAATAGTTCCATCCACTTGTGTACTATCTTACAGATTCTCTATTGGAGCAACAGAAAAGGATTGTAGGATAAATTTAAGCAGCATTCAAAAAAGAGACTTATTGTATATGTTTTATACTTTTTTTTTTGTTGTTGTTTTTTGTTACTGGGGATTGAACTCAGGTCCTTGTGCTTGCGATGTAGGCGGCAGAATCACTGTGCTAAATCCCCGGCCCATTATTTCATACTTTTTAAAGAACACTTTGAATTCTTTTTCTGCTTGAAAATAGGAGAATTCGAGAAACACAAAACTGTGAAAGTGTCTCTTACCTTCGAAGCTGGTGTTGGCTCCTTATAATTCGTGCTGCTTGGGCACCTACGCTTAGGCAGACTCATGGCTGTGCTTTCTTTCTTCTTTTCTGGAGAAAGACAAAGTCTCCTGGTTTTTATTTCGGGTAACAAGGGAACATTGTTGGTGTCCTTCAGGCTACAGTGAGGTGATGGAGGTGATGGGCGGATCTTAGGTGGTACACTAGTAGGAGTTTTTGTTGGCTTAGAATCTTCCATCTCTTGTTCATCTGTGCAGTTTAGCGCTCTTTTAGGTTGAGGCCTGGTGACCCGTCTCCCTGATGTGCTTGTGAGATTCTGAGTGTTCTTGCAGTGGGGCACATAGAGATCATCAGAATCGTCTCCAGAACTGCTGGATTCAAGGATGCTCACTCCAGGCTTAACGTTGTTTTCCTCTCTATTAGAATCAGTGTTGGGTTTTGTTGTTGTTGTTGTTGTTGTTTTGTCAGAAAGGAGTGAGATGAAAACTCTTTTACAAATTAAAATTGTAGGTATTGAACTGATAGATTCATCCAATTTTGGGGAGCAAACTGTTTTGATTTTCACTTTTGTTCCCTTTATACTTTGATGTAGATTTAGATTTTCTTCTGTTAGCTTTTCTTTTTTTCTTCTTTTTTTCGTAGTATATCTCTATGCTGACTTTTTATCAGCTTTAGATTCTAAAATGACTTCTTTCATCTTGGTAAACTTTTTTGGTTGAATAAACCTTGGTGATAAATTAATTTGTTCCATTGACAGACATTTTTTCATTCATTTTTTGGTAAATTCATGTTTACTACTGGCTCTACATATCAGATTCTTTCCAGTTCAAAAGACTGCCCTTCCAACTAACTAGTTTCAAGTATACCCAAGTATTTGCTGGTAAATCCTTTGCAAATAAATCTGGGGCTGTCGTCCCTGGGAGCCCATTCCTGAGAGACGTGCTTCCTGGTTCATTGCTTTCCTCATTCTCTTCCCCATCCCATCTCCCTGGCAATGGCTTCTGAGCAGTGTTTTCTGTTTGTTGTGAAGCAAGTTTTCCTTTCAGTGCATATAGCTGACATGTAGAGTAGTAACATTCTTTTCTTAGCTGTAGGATGATGTCTTGGGCTTCTCTCACTTTGGATTTTTCATTTTCCAAATCTAACACTAACATTCTGTTGTTGTCTTGGTAATTTTTCGGCAGTTGGTAACCACTTGGCACGGTGCAAGTACGAAGGCCCTGCGTTTGCCAATGTCTGCCAAGTTTTTATTCCTTTTCTCTTTCGCTCGCTTCTTTATGTCTTCAAGGCTGTCTTGAAAGGACTTTTTCTGGCACCTTTCCTTGGCCATCTTCTGCCTTGGCCGGTACTTGTGCAGCGGTCGCCCTCTTCCTCACATCCCACCCCACGACGCCGCAAAGCCGTCCAGCCTTGCTGGAGCCTGCGTTGCAGTACTCCAGGCCCGCGGCACTGTCTTGGGTCTCCCGCTGCTATTACAGCCTGCAACATATTATATCATGGAGAAAAGTTGTTAGAAAAATCGTGATGCCAGATTATGTTTTTAAGTATATATAAATATGGATAAATGTTTATGGGTACTAAAATTTCAAGTGACTCAGTCTATTCTAAATAATAGTTGATGTTTACAGGGAAATTTCATTAAAAGTTCGTTAGCACTCCATGAAATGACCACCTAAATTTCCTTAAATCTAATTTTCTAATTTTCTTTCTCTATACATCCTCTCTTTCACTTACTCAATTAATTTGGCTTTGTCATCTCACCGTCTTTTGCCTGATAATTTCTATGTCCTTTCCATTTACGGTGCACACTAAACTAGTTTTATTTCCTCCATAACATCTTTTTCTTGCCAGAGGCTTTACTGTGTTGCCTAGGCAGGGCTCAAACTTGTGATCCTCCTGGGTTGGGCTCCCTAGTAGCTGGGATTACAGAAATGTGCCATCGTGCCTGGCCCCTCAGTTGTATTTTCATCATAACTCACGTTTTATTAGTACATGTTTGTGATACACAATGATTGCATTCATTGTGGAGAGTTGGTACATGTAAATGACACATTTTATTCCTTTGATGACCTCTTCCCTTCTGCCCTTCCTCCTGCCTCCATTTCTTGGTCCCCTTCCCATTTGCAGAAGATCTATCTCTGTTTTCTATTATCTACCTTTTATTTTGCTCTTTATTTGTATTGGGGTTTCTTCGCTATACACATTCAGCAAGACTTGAATGTTTCCAATGAGAAGTTGCAAAGATGGGCTTTTAACTTGCCCCTCAAAATAAACAAATAGCAGGTATGGATTATCAGTCACCACTAAACACATAGCTCTGTGAGTTTAGGCAAATGCTCTCCTCTGTCCTTTGCTTTCTTTAATACTCACCCTATTCACCTGCTAATGATGTGAATGTATCTCAAATTATAATGCACAAGACTCCACTTGCTTACATTTTTTAAAAAATTAGCTTCCTAAATGGACTTCCAACTGTTTCAAGAAGATCCCACTGTTCAGATAAAGGGGTACCCATGGGGCAGCCCAAGTACCTTTTTCTACAGCCTTTTTGATACATTTCATGGCTGCCACTGACCTTCAGATCACTTGTCTTCTTGGTCATTATCTGATTATTGCTTCTACCACCTCTTTTGACCTAAGAAAAATAAATTTATCTCTCATCGGTCATTTTGGGTAAAACTTTCTCCTATTTCTTTACAGAACACATTTCATAATGGTTTCTTGAAAATTCAGGAAGGATGAAAGCAAAATGTGAGGCTGGGGATTTAGCACAGTGGCTCTGCTGCCTGCCTTGCAAGCACAAGTTCCCGAGTTCAATCCCCAGTACCAAAAGAAAAAAAAAAAAAAAAAAAAAGAAAGAAAAATATAACCCAAAGAAAAAATTTGTATCTACCCTATTTCATAACTTCCTGTCCACCTGGAAAGATCCCTCCTGTCTTCTGCCTTGATCCCAAAGTGGCCCCACGTGGATCATTGTTCAGAGGATAGAAATATCTGTAACTTTGCTGAATATATACAAACTGAATGAATTCCTGTAAGTTTCAAGTACCAAAAGTACAAGTACAAGATTGAAAAGACTTTTGGGTTTTGGTTTTAAAAAGTAACTGCCAGACTACAAAACAGTTCAGACTCACATCCTGCTAACAAGGTACAGTGTGGACATGGCTGAAGCATCACCAGCCCTGTTTTTAAAATATAATCTGATGGATGAAAAAAATTTATTAAAAAAATTTTATTCATACTTGTCTGCAGTACATAATGATTGCATATCATCGTGGGGAAAAATAATTCTTCTTTAATTGCAAATTCCTGATCACTAATGAGGTTAAGCATCAGCAGTATTCTGTTAATGTTCAAATAATGAAAGTATGTATAAAGGATAGCATAGGGAAATGGAATCTTCAGTCACTGTGCCTGAAGAATATTTTAAATATCATAGTAGAATATTGGAACATTACAAAAAATGGGCCAGGAATTTAGTTCAGTGGTTCCACCTCCTGCCTCGCAAGCGCAAGGACCGAAGTTCGACCCCCAGTACCAAAAAAAAAAAAAAAAAACAACAACAACCAGTTGTGGTGGCATGTGCCTACAATTCCAGCAGTCAGGAGGCTGATGCAGGAGGGTAGCTCGAGGCCAGCCTGTGTTACATGCTGAGTTCAAGTCTGGGCTGAACTACACAGTGAGACCTTGTCTCAAAAAAGACCAAAAGAAGGTTTGGGGATTTAGCTCAGTGGCACCTCACCTGCCTTGCAAGCTCAAGGTCATGAGTTTGACCCCTGGTATGAAGAAAAAAAAAGGCAAAAAGAAAAGTTAAATTTAAACATATGTTCGATCAAATTCCTCTACCCACTTAATTCTTTTAATGCAAAGACAACCTACTGGCTCTGGGTGCTATCTAATCACTGTGGGAGTCAGCTCCATCTGCCCGAGTCTGTGTGATAATATGAAGTAATAATTACATAATGTTCCATAATTTTCCTCTGTTGAATTGTGACAGAATTTGGTGAGGCACATTTTGAAAATTCAATTACCTTTTCCCAGTACTGTAGCTCTTATGTGCTCTCTACCCAGGGGTTAAAGATTCAGAACCTCCTGTATTAAAATTTAAGATTGGGGGATAAAGCACGTCAAGAAATGTGTCTGTAATGTCCAAATATTTCAAGTAGCTGAATGTAAGCATGCATATCGAGTCAGATTCTATTTACCAGACAACAGAACTCAAAATAGGGTAGAGGTTTGTTGATAGATATTATTAGAAATAATACTGAAATCACGAAGGGAACACTGATGACGTAGTGGCTGGCATTAGTATCCATATATATTATTTAAATATTTAAAGCTGGGCGTGGTGACACACAGCACCTAGGAAGCTGAGGCAGGAGGACCCCTAAGAATTCGAGGCCAGCCTGAGCTTCATAGTGAGTTCAAGACCAGCCTGAGCTACACAGTGAGACCCTGTCTCAAAAACCTAAAACGAGACATAAGAAAACACAGAGTGCTCGTCACCCCTTCACAGTGTGAGAGCACAGGAGCGAGTGGCCAAGTCTGACCCAGGAAGAGTGTGTCATCAGCAGACACTAAACTCACTCTGGCTTTGGACTTGCCCGCATCGACAGCTGTGAGAAACAATGTTTTTACTATGTGCAAACTATCCAATTTACAGTATTTTGTCCTAGTCCTCCAAAGAGATTAAACCACATGCTGGCTCACCCCATGCACTTACTGCTCCTCTGTTTTTTAATGTCTTTGCTGTTTGTGTAAATTCAGTTATTCTTTCCACTTTTCCATTCTTACTACTGAGTCATTTTATCAGTTTATAATAACTTTTATCAAGTGGTAGTTTGCGTCTGTTTATCCTTGGCTGATTCAAAGCACTGGTATAATTTTCAATCAACTTCTTCCCATCTCACAAACTGCATTATTTTCAATGAATTCCCAGTAAACCCTTACTTGTCCTCGCTTTGGCAGAGCTAGCAGAGCCAATCCCCGTTTAAGCCAATAGGTTCAACTTCTTCAACAAGTAAATCTTTCACGAGAGCTGCTGACAAGCCGGAGCATAACTGAATCTGCATTCATTCCGCCTCGCTTTCCATAGTCTCTCCCTCTTGCGCTTTGCAAAGTGGAGCTCTGGTGCTGATGAATATGGGAAAGAGCAGCGGCACGGTCCACAAAGAGGCACTATGCTCTCCGTGAAGCTCAGCCTCAGTTACGAATCTCACAGAGGAAGCGGGGTGCGGCGGTGCACACCTGTAATGGCAGCCACGCGGGAGGCTGAGACAAGAGGACCACAGATTTAAGCCTTGCCCAGGCCACTCAGCGACACTTTGCCTCGACATAAAATGAAGAGGGGGTGGTGGAGGCGGTAAACTCTGCTCCCTAGGATCCATCTCCCCCATCTCATTACTCTCCTGTTGCTGGAACAAAATACCTGGCATCCGCCCCTCAAAGGATGAGAAATTCATTTTGGCTCACAGTTTGGGAATTCAGCTGGCTCCAGGCAGAAATGGCAGAGAGGCTGGCAAGGAAAGTGGCTCCACTGTGCAGTGAGGAGAAAGTCGGGTGTGGGCAGAGGCGGGGCCTCTCCTCAGCTCCAAGCTCCTTGGGGAACCCCCTGATCCAGGGGCCTTCCAGAGCCCTTACTGGACACACAAGGCTTTCGGGGGACACTTTAGATTCAGACCCTAACACATGTGTAAATAAACAAGTAAATAACTTTTTTAAAAAGAGCAACAGTACTGCCTAAGCTCATCTTCAAACGTATCTGACTATGTGATCTCAATATCATGTCTTGGCCGCGGATTAGCTCAGTGGCAGCCCACCTGCCTCCAAAGTGCAAGGTCCTGAGTTCAATTCCAGATACCAGAAGAAAAAACAAAACAAAACATTCCAAAACGAAAGCTTCTTGTGTGAGCATCAAGAATAAGAAAGCCCTGAGCCAGAAATCTTGATGCAGCCTTCTAATTGCAGCACACTGCCCATCCAGGCAGTTTAGTGACCTGTAGTTGAGACTGACCTGGAACTCACTATGTAGCCCAGGCTGGTCTTGAACTCACAGAGATCCTCCTGCCTCAGCCTCCTGTGTGCTGGGATTACAGGTGTGCGCCACCATGCCCAGCTTTTAAATTTTTTATTAGTATACTTTGCAGTAAATAATGGTTACATTCATTGTAGGGGTTTGGTACACATACATAACATGTCTTAATTCATTTTATTTTCCTTCCCTTCCTCTCCCTCTTCTCTCTGACTATTGGTCTCTAGGGTCAAATTATCCTACAATGTATTATACTATACATTATTGAGTTTCTTTACAATGTTAAAAATCACAGAGCCTAGCTTCTCAATATCTTTCGTGTGATATGAAAAGATAGAATTCTATTTTTGAGAACTTGTTTAAGATGCTTTTTTGGGGGGCGGATACTGGGGACTGAACTCAGGGCCTCGTGCTTGCCAGGCAGCTGGCAGCACCACTG